CGTGGGTTCGAGCCCCGCGTCCGTCTCGGTGCTGACAGCTCAGAGCCTGGAGCCTCTTTCGTATTCTGTGTCTCCCTCTCTGTCTGCCCCTCCCCTGCTCACACTCTGTTTGTCTCAAAAATAAATAAACATTAACAAAAAAATAAAAACAAAAAACATCCTTATGTGCCGAAGGCAACCACTCTGACCTGCCTCTTCAGGTCATGTGCCTCTTCACGGTGGTTGGGATGGCCCCTAACTATTATTATTTCCTCCATCAGTTAGTCAGGGATTCACATTTCTAAAGTTTTTATTCATTTAAGTAATCTCTACAACCCAACACGGGGCTCGAACTCACGACCCTGAGATCATGAGCCACGTACTCTAACTGAGCTAGCCAAGTGCTCCAGGCGTTAACATTTCTGGATGCTTCTCTGACAACAGCCTCAGATCTTTTGCCACCTAGTACTAAAGGTGGCAAAACAGATCTTTGTCCTGAAAGAATAGAATATACTTAGATCCAAGAAACCTGGCTATTCGAGGCAGAGATAGCGAGCTGGGGAACATCACATCTTCGTTTTGTAATAGGCAAGGGGGCTGCTACGAATACGGTGCCTTTACCCCCCAGCTCATCACCTGCAATAATCAGCTTCGGGTGGAAGAGGCGGGCATTTTCCTCCAGTTGGTCATAGTTGATGTAGCCAGTGTCTGGGTTCACCTGTGGAATGTCACGGAGACAGCAGGCTCGGGCTGCGTCCACCACACCGGGCCTGTCCTCCCACCGGGACTCGTGCCAACTATCAAGGGTAAGAGGACTTCCTCCACCTGCCCAAAGCTGTTCGCTCCACTCCACCATGGACACAGGAAAGACGTCCCAGAGTGTGACTTGAGGGCAAGGTGGGGTACCGATGTATTTGGCCTGTGCACGTGGCGTGGACAACCAGGTATCGCCTATGGAGGCAGGATGCCCTGAGGGGTCCCGAGAGGAAAAGTGAGCCCCCGCCTCGGGGTTCTTCCGGGAAAGAGAAGGAACTAAAACGCCACTGCAGAGTGCAACGGGAGCCACAAACATGCACCGCACAGGGCAGGTGCTAAGACACTGTTACCTTCGGGAATGAGACGAGATGCTGCTAACACCTCTTCTAGTCCCAGGTACACAGAGGCAAGAGGAAGAAATAAGGACACCAGGATTAGGAGACGCACAAAGCTGACATTACTCACAGACACGATGACCGCCTACCTGGGAGATCCAAGCCTCTAGGGGCAAGCTATTAGAATTAGTAATTGAATTTAGCAAGGTCACTGGATGTGGGGTCAAAAACCAAAAACCAAAAACCAGTTCTATTCGTCCATATAAGCAGCAAAACATCGGAAAGGAAAATTTAATAAGAATAATATTATATTAAGGGCGCCTGGGTGGCTCAGTCGGTTAAGCCCCTGGACTCTTGATTTCAGCTCAGGTCATGACCTCAGAGTTCCTGAGATGGGAGTCCCGAATCAGGCTCTGCACTGACAGCGTGAATTCTGCTTGGGATCCTCTCGCTCCCTCTCTCTTTGCCCATCCTGGCCCCCCCCCAAAAAACAAACATTTAAAAAAATAATATTAGTGGGGCGCCTGGTGGCTCAGTCAGTTGAGCGTCCGACTTCAGCTCAGGT